CTCTCTCTCTCTCTCTCTCTCTGTCTCTCTTCAATGAGCGCACATGCTATATGGCAAAAAAACTTTTCAAAAGGCATAAAAATATCCCCTACCTCCTTGAGTTGTTGAGATGATTAAACGAGAAAATACATGTAGAGTACTTAGCCTAGCACAGTCAAAACGTCATGACTGTTGACTGAAGAAATTGGCAGGGCAGCCAGGACATGTGTCTCAGGGCTGGAATCATGGCTCCTGACCTCTGGCATGGGCCTTTTTCACAGGTGTGCATTCTCTACTCCTCACTGACACATTGGGGAGGGTATGCAGGCGGGGAATAAAAAGCCTCTTGTATAGACCAGTGTTCTAAGCTGGGGGAGCCCAGTCTGAATTCAGAGCCTGTTCAGAGGAGACGTGCCGTGGCCAAAGCCCAGAGCCCTTGAAGATAGAAACCAAACAAACTGTCTAATCTCCTCAGCTCCAGCCCCGTGGAGCCCGACTCTCCACAGCTGAGACAACACCACCCAAGGCTGAGGCCACAGAGAACCTGGACTAAAGGCAAAGACGTGAAGATGGCGATTTGAGAGGGATTCACAAAAGATTCTGGGGTGTAAGCCAGCCTGGGGTGTGCTCAGCTGGTGGGTCCCTACCACCCTCCCACCAGCTCCAGAAATGCAGGAGAAGAAGCAGAGCCAGCCAGGGGGCTCCTGACTGGCAGAGACACCCCCCGCCCCCCGCACCTCCCTGTTCTGGGTGGCATGAAGGGGGCTGCGTTGTTTGGAGAAGTGTGGACTTGGTTTGGTTCCAGGGTTCTTGGAGGAAAGGCAGCCAGCTCACTCACCTCCAGCTGATTCTGTTTCCTTCTCGAACCCCTGATCCCAGACTATCTGTTCCACTTCAATGCCAGCCCTTGGGACACTGAAATTCCTGGGTTGTGTTTCACCTTGTAGCACTGGGAGGTCTTCCAGAAGGTGACGGAGGTCTTCATTCTGGTGCCTGCGCTGCTGGGGCTCAAGGGGAACCTGGAGATGACCCTGGCGTCAAGGCTGTCCACCGCAGTGAGTGTCTTGGCCGGGAAGAGGGGGCTTGGAGAGGACTCTGGGTGGCCCAGAGCCAGACCAGAGATCACTGCAGGACCTTCTCCACTGCTCAGGCCTGGAGTGAAGCTGGGGTGGGAAGGGCAGGCCTGGCTGGGCAGGTGTAGGGAGATCCCAGGCTGGGTGTCCTGTTCCTGGGCAGGGGCTCCCTGCCCAAAGTGGTTCCCAGGCTCCATTTCTGGATGTCCCAGCCCCATCTGGACTCCTGCCCCACCCCCCGCTTTGCAACCCACCTCGTGACTGTTTGTGCAGCTTTGACAGGCGGGCACCACGCTGATCCCTCTACCCACACAGCTGGGGGCCGCCTCCGCTCTCCCGCCCCCCTCTTGGGCGCGCCCCACGCTGATCCCTGTCCCCACACAGCTGGGGTCCGCGTCTGATCTCCAGCCCTACTCTGCAGCTGGGCAGGAGCAGAGCCAGGCCCTCCCAGCCCCCTCCCTGCCCCCGCCAGCCCACTCCCTCTCCCCATGGCAGCTTCCTCCTCTTTAAGGGAATAGACTGGAAGG